ATCCCTTTGCGTTTGTGACAGCAGAGAGTACCAGTACTGCAAACGTAGCATTGCTTATCAGAAAGGAAGACTGTATAAAAGGAGAGGTGGTAGGATAGTCGCCTAAGTTCACTGTGTGTGTTTGTTAATACCAGTCAGCTTCCACCCATCTTGAGAGCTGTCATGAGAGGGCAGTTAGGAGAAATGCAAATTAATTCTGAAAAGAGTAAAGGAATCAGAAAAGAGAAAGATAGTCCATGAGAGAACAGGCAGGGGATAATGGAAAATGCTTCCAGAGTTAGAGGCAAAGATATGTGAAAGAACAAGTAGGAAAGGAGATGCCACAAGATTAACTTTCCTCTCTATGTACAGTGATCAAAGTCTGAAACTCTCAACTACTATTTCAGTTTCTGACATAACTTGGCTCCATGACATTGAGAAAGCCTGCTTCCCTAGGGGTGCCATCTGAGAAACCCTATTAGTTCTTCTGCCATTTGAGCTAAGCTGTAGTAAGATAATAGGAGGGAAGAAATTTATTATTTTTAGGGAAGGAAATGACAGACTAATTGACCTCCATCTGCAAAAAGTTATTTCAGTGTCTCTGTAAAATTTGATGCCATTTTTTTGTCCGTAAGAGGAGATCTGGACATACTGCAGCGTGCTGAAGCATCTTAGTTACAGCTGATGAACTTGTTCAGAATATCTGTGAGCTTTTATCAAGCATTGTATCTGCAAAGTATCTTCATACCAACTGGAAAAGATTTACAACATTTTCTGAATGTACAATGACTGAACAAGTGAAAGTGTTTGACCAATACAAAAGTAGGGTGTATATACTGACATTTTTCCGCAGAAAAGTTTCACTGAGTGATGTGTCTTAGGAGGAGAGCCAAGGGGGATGAGAAACTGTCCCAACTGCTCATCTCCTTGCTTCTAATTAGCAATCACTGTATGAGAGCGCCTTTTTTAAAAAATACAGATTTATTATTTTTTTAATAGGATTGATATGTTAGCTTTCTTTTGTACAGAAAGTTTTGTACAGTTCTGCTTTCTGTGCTGAAGCTGGAAACTTCAAATGGAATTTTAACACTTCTCATATTAACTTACTGCTGTTTTATTGATAAGAAATACTTAGTGCTTATTAAAGTGATCAAATACAGATATTTCTTGCTTCCATTATTATTGACGTGAAAAAGTAATTTATTCAGACCTTTCAGAGGCAAATGCTATGCAGATTGCAAAGGTACTCCCAAAGAACTCACAAGGTGTTCAAAGCGAAGCAACAGGCAGCTGAAGCAAATCTCTTGAGGGGGAGGGAGAGAGTACTTTGTCACAGAAGTAACAGCATGGTATCTTCTATGCTGCCTGCATGCAAAATCTACGTGCTTATGGAATGCTGTCTTCATTTCAGTGAAGTCAAGAGTTTTGTCTTTGAACAATTTGGGGCAGGATTTTTCCATTTCTGTGGTTGCTTTTTGGTAATTTTTTTTTTAATTAATTTAAATTGACACAGGTAATCATGTATTCTTTAGCAATCTTAACTGTTTAGCCAGGGGCAGATATTTGCTGTTCCTCATTCTGCTTTCTGTTTTTACATTTGTACCATCCTCTACATTAGCTAGTACTGGTGAGTGCTGTCAGAAATACATCATAAATTAATTTATCTTGAGAACTCTCTTTTGATGCATTTTGGTTTAAAGATGCTTGTCTTTAAAATACATGCTCCTGGATGCTCAGCTACAGTACTCACTGACTTCTTTGTTTTCTGTAGCCAAATCTTATCAGAAAAAATGGCAGTATTCTGTGCATTTATACTAAAGTCATTTTTCCTTAAAAGAAGGAGCCATAAAAGGGGAGCATTTAGAACCTTTCAAATGAAACCGATCACAGAGCAAATCAATTTATTCTACAAGTGAACAAAATGAGCCATGTTTGTCGTTTTAGTGAGAGTGAGATTGGTTGCATTTTTTTTCCACTCACCCCTTGGACATGGAAAAGTGATTAGCGTGATATAAAAGAGGGTGTTGTGGCAAGGTCATCATTGGAAACGATAGGTAAATCTTAGTGAACAGTCTACTACCAAGTATTTGGAGTGATTGGGATGTATAGGAGACAGTCATGGAAAACCCCAGGATGGGGATGATTAAATTGGGCTCAGGGGTTGGAGGAAGGGATTGAGGTGGGGCAACTGAGCCTGTGTGTGTTGGGGAGCATTGTACCTTCAGCCATCATGACAAAAAATGACTATATTTTGAAATAATAAGCATTGTGGAAAAGTCAACTACTTTTAATTTGACGCTTCTCTGTGCTTAGCAATGATGCTCTTCAGAAAATCTTAGTGATATTACTGGGGATATTTTTCTAAAAAAAACCTCCACCTCTTGAAAATTCAGCTTCATGATGTTTAAGATATTGATAGTCGATAAACAATTTCTTCACTATTTATCAATGATTGTTTTAAAGTGAACCTAAGAAATTAAATGAATTTTTTTTTTCCAGCTGTCTACCACCATAATGTTGGTGGACATGCCAGTTCATTAACTGGATACTTGAAAAATTATGCTTGTATGTTTTGAAAATATTTTTCTCTTCAGACTGTATTTCTGATGGTGGCTACAGTTAAATAATGTGTGGAATTAGAAAGTTGAGGGCTAGTGCTTTATTTTTCTTCTCCATTTTTATAGCTTCCTCTTTTAAGAAAAATTTCCAACTTACCAATTTAAAAAAAAAAACACAAAACAACAAACTTCTAACAAGCAAACAAACCAAAACCAAAAATCCCAAAGTACGGTTTCCTTGGGGACGTTAAGTCTAAACAAGTATACAATAATGCAATAATAAATATTAGCAGAAGAATTAATCATTTATTAGACAATCTTTACTTAGGAAAGCTTCTTAACACTTACAACAGTCAGTGGGATTAAAATGTGCTTAACTTGAAGCACATCCCAAGAGCTTTCCTCATTTGCATTTTACTTGCTCAAAGAACTTTAGGTTTGCCTTTTTTTTTTTTTTTTTAGGTGCAGTGCATATTGTAGCAATTTGAGCAAAATTAAAGCATTCCTAAAGCAAAAGAGTGCATCGGAATGATGTTTTAAGAATGAAGTGCTTGCTTACTGCTTTCGTACTGTTTGAAACCTTTTATTTCTGGCTCTTTCCCAATGTGGAAGGAGTTTGTTTTCAGAGAAATATTGTTGCCAAGGGACGAATGTTGACTGTGTTGTGTTTAAAACAGGCTGATATTAATTACATTCTTTTAGCTATTCTCCTTCTCTGGATAACTTTAAAAGGTCCTTCCAATTTCCAGAATGCTGAGGTAAGCTCTCAGAACATGAACACTGTGTCTCATCATTTACGTGAAGAATGTATTAAAGAACTGGCAAGAGCCAAACTCATTTTTGTGCACAGTCAAGAAATGTTGGTTTCAGATGATTATACTAATTAATAACATACAATGGCATTAGTGAATGCAGTGATTTCCCTCCCTTTCCTCTTTTATCTTTAAAGTCCTTATCTGAGCCAGTTATCAGCCAACCTGTGTGGAGAGCTGCTTACTGCATTAGTCCAGAACAGGCAAATTTTTTTCAGGACCTATTCTGTGATCGGGGCAGCATGATCTCGAGCAAAGTCAGTCTTTGGGATATTCCAGTTTCCCGTTGATAACATGATGTTTTGCATTGGATTTTGGTTCTTTCAAGGATCAGGCTGAGTTACTTAACTTGCCTCTTCTTACAGAACAGTTTTGTGCAAGCTTCCTTGAACTAGTGGTCCCAGTGATGGGATTGTTACAATGCTCACCCCACCAGAACTTGCACAGTGTGTTGGTTTTTTTTTTCCAACTAGCTCCTGAAGGCTGAGCCCAGCTCATGTTTTTTAGTCTTCTGCCTCTTTCAGAGTTTTAGATCACTTTGTTCTGTACTAGGTGAAATGCCACTTTCCAAGTATTTTTGCTTAATACTCAGTACTTTAAGAAATTCTGGGTTAAGAGAGCATAATGTACATAACTGCAGAGCTTGCCTTAGGGTGCCAACCCAGCTGCCTTGCTGTGCTTGTGTGGGAGCCCTAGAGGAGAGTGACACAAGCTGAGCCAAAGCAGGTGAATTTTCCCTGCCAGCCCTCTCCTCAGCCTTCTGTGTCTCTTGGCAGACTTGGTTTTGGGCCTTCTCATCCTCTCCTCTCATCCCTCCTTCAGTGGGATGAGTTCAGCGTGTCCTGTGAATTTCTGGGAGAAGAGCTCCAAGGAGGTTTTGTAAGTCTGAACTCCTTGTCCTCCTTGTCCACCTCCAAGTCCTGCTTGCTCGCAGCCCTGGCTGCTGACCAGTGGTCAGTCCTCCCTGGAGCTACCTGGATGTAACCTGACAGCTTATGCTCAACTTCTGAAATCTGCCTGGGAAGCTGTCGGCCTGCTGGACATAAGTGAAGGCCAGCTTTAGTGGTCAAAACCTTGTTTTAACAAAAGGTTACATACTTTTTGCCAGCTATGAGTTCTCAACAGAGGCATGTGTTTCTTCCCTTCATTCAGACGACGGAAGCCAGCTTCCTCCTTACTTGAATCCCAACATGAAAGCTCCCTTTCTCTCAGCTTTTCTGCCAGTCGCGATCCCTGTCACTCATTAGCCTCTTTCTACTTTCCTGAAAACTTGCTTTAATCCTGACACCTGTCTAGAAACGTCTTCTGATAGAGATAAGCATTGGCTTATTGTTTTGATAAATTCTCCGGATCTATTTGTTTGAAAAAATAAATGTTACGCATCCCAGTTGTCCCTCAAGAGATAGTCCTTATTATTCAGGAGTTCATGTTGACTTACAAAAGATTAATGTGCATTTACAGTGAAGTTATATTAATCAACAAATTGGCAGTCAATTTATGGATTACTAGAGAACATTTATGACTGCCTACATAAATCTATACTATGTCATTAGCATTCTGTTTAAATAACTGTATATTTTTATTTCTTTAGACAACTTTGACAGAAATTTCTGAGTATTCATCGGATAATGACAGTGTGGGAGAAGGAGAGATGGGCCTGGCGACCAGTACTCCAGGATTCACTAAGAGATTATGGCCGAGGTCAGGAGTGGACACGGGGGAAGTTACAGTACGACCGGCCAGCGAGTGGCTGAGGTCTGCGCAGGCCCTTCTCCGCACCCCCGGCAAGCAGGCGGGCAAGGCCCCCCGAGCCCCCACCGAGTCCACAAAGAAGACAAAGCTACTGAGGTAAATGCATTTTCCACCTTAAGGAATTTTTTTTTTTTTTTTAAATTGTAAGTAAAAGAATACTTACAGAAGAGTAGGAGTGCCTTTCAAGGATAAACATTTTAGAGATGCAAATTCCAAAAAACTTAGAAGAGTGTCATTTATCTGTAAACAAGCAAACAAGGCAAGAAAGAACTCAGTTCAGTTTTAAAATCTGTGGTGAAAGCTCTCGATCTTGAACTCCTGCGTACAAATCAATATGGTTTTTGCACTTCTAATAATGCTTCTAACAACAGTGCCTTAGATGTGTGAGTGGATATACTTCTGTTTTAGCTTGTAATCATTTCATTGCTTTGTCCCTCTCCAGATAGTCTGCAGAAATGCTGTACCTCTGATTTTTTTTTTTATTTTATTTTTTTTTTTTTTTGGTCCTCTCCAGATTTGTCAGGGCAAAATTATCCAAAATACTGTAGGAAAAGGGTGGATGAGCAATTGTGCTGAAGTGCTGAATAGTGCAGGACAGAGTGATATTTAGGCAAAGGTGAGATGTATCTGTTAATCTGAAATTTAAATCTCTGTGACTAAATTAAATACATTAGAAAGATACCTAACTGCTGAAAGAAAACAGCCTGAGCAGTGGAAGCCTGCTGTTCATGATTTGCTACTTCTAGCTAATTACAGTGCAGAAATGGTCACTTCCTATATTGAATTAAGGTATACCTCAAGCTATGGAGACTACAATGACAATCTTCCCTTTGGTTAAATACCCATACCTTATTTTTCTCTTAAAATGTTCTTGGCTATTTGAAAATGCTTACAGATTTGAAAGTCCTAATTATTGAGGATCTTGTGCAAGCAAGCTTTATTTCTTGTTACTTTAAAAACATAAAGACACAAGTGTACTAAGTCAAACCAAAGCTGTAACCCCCAAAAATGCCTGTTAGTGGACAAAACCAAGTATCTGTGAAGGTAACAAGAAAAGGACAGCTTCATTTGATGACCTCTACTATCAATAATCTTAGTGCAAAAATTTTATTTTACAGCAAAGATACTCTGAAACAAGCGTATAAGAGAATAAATAGCTTTAAAAACAAACAAAACCAAGCCAACCACAACAATACAGAATGTAATCTGTCCAGAGTGGCCAGAGGAGCAGAGCTTGCAGGGTTTTTCACTCCTCCATCCTGTGGTTCCACCTTGGGTTGCTTTGGGAACAGGGAAGCAGGCAGGAAATTCCTCAGTTATGAGTTTTGTTTATCTAGTTATTTTGCTTGTCCAGGTAATTGTCATCTTTTTACTCTTCCTGTTCAGGGCATTAATTCCATGTGTCTCTCTTTCCCATTCTTCCTTTTACTGTTGATGGAGAACATTTTCATTGGTGTGCTAACAGTGGATATAAGAGTCTGCATCCTCGATAGGAAAGCTTCGGTTTTCAGTGCTGTGGATTGAAGGCCAGCTTGGAGAAAGGTTTGTCACCTTCTCGACTGATGAAGTGACAACCCCGTCTTTCTGGTTATATAGCTAAAAGTTGCATGGCAGTCGTTGGCTTGTTCTTTCTCCTTCCTTCCCACCTTTGCTGCAGGTCGAGGTCAAGCAGAAAAAGCAGTGAGCAGGGGAAATCATCCTGCAAGCTGGATCTGGCCCGCAGGCTCCCGCTCAGACCATTTGGAACTTTGCAGTAGGTGGAAGAGAGCCAAAAGCCTCTGCTTAGCCGGGCTTTCTTTTTCCAGGTTGATGCCTAGGGAAGCATGGGTCGAGCGGAGATGGGGCAGGTGGTAGAGCTGCCGCCTTCCTATGTGAATTCCTGCGAGAGAGGTTCTACTCCAAATCCAGATCGTATTAAATATGCTTACTTCATGGAAGAGTGCTGATGTAGGTAGAATAGACCTCCTATGGTTTTTTTTCCACTTTTAAGAAAATAGAAATTATTTCTGTTTTCATCTTTCTTTGCTGTTTGAGATGAATAAAGTCCTCAAAAGTAGAGAGAATATTTACAAAAAATTTGAGCTTATATTTTCTGAAAAAATCTTATACCATGTGTAACAGTCTCTTCCAAATTCTTTAAGCACACTGCAATCTGCATTTATATTTGCATTACCTGATTGCAGCTATGCTTCTATTACCTCAGTGGCTACATTTTTCTATGCAACCTCACAGAAAACCTCCTATCATCCCCCCCAAACCCCAACAAAAGCCAAACAAAAAAAAAACAAAGAAAAGAGTTGTAACAGTCTGTGGAAAAATTCAAATAAGTTACTTTCTACTGTCCTCTCCTCCTGAAATCCTCCTGGGGCTAAAATAGAAATGAGTAGTTGCCTGGATGGGAGGAAAAAGTATTGTTTGTTTGATCCTATTACAGATGTAATTGTCATACAATTAAGATGTAACCAAACCAACAGAAATCTTCAGAAGTAAGCTGATTATGGATGACTCAAATAAATTCTGATCCTAGTGTTAGAAATTTTGGTGTCAATTCAACACCTGTGAATGGAAGTAAAATGAGAAATCTGTCCCCAAAAGAACATGCACAATATACAATGTTGCTTATGATGAGCGAAATTTGAAGGGGCATCTTGCAATCCTTCTGTTAGGAGTTAAGTGGGGTTTTGGAAAGTGATTAGCTTCTCCAGACAAGAAAGGGGTGACAGAAGCAGTTCCTCCCCCACCATGCCAACTGACTGGTCTATTCTGTGCCCTTTCGCCAAATTCTCATATGTATTCATGTATCCCCTGTAATGTTAGGTTTTGTTTTCAAAATTGTTCAAAGATTGTTCTTTCTACCATGGTCCGCAGGGGAGAGCAGGTAGTCTGTGTGGTGCTGTTTGTCCTTCAGGGGTGTAGGTAGTCCTGGGCAGGTTCTGAAGCAACCCGAAGGGCAGTGCTGTAGGAGGTGCCAGTCTGTCATGCTGGTGGCAAAGTATCATCTCTTCATTTACAGCCATCAATACCACTGTTCCTGGACGTCCTCACCTCAAACATCGGTTTTATGTGCCACCTTGTGTAGCTGCCTTCCTTTATTTAAACAAAATTGGTGATGGATGAAGCGGGAGTAGTATAATTTTCCCAGTTATGCTGAGAGATAAATGTCATTGTACTGCACGCATGAGCTACTAAGAGAGTTGATAAGGAAGTGCTACTGGTGGTACTTGATACTGAGGTGAATCGCCTTGGTGATCAGGTCAAGAGGTGTTGGGTTAGATGTTCCTGCCCTTTTATTCCACCACAAAGTTTCAGTTTCTCAGCTTGAGTCAACAGTGCATGGGAAAATAATGCAAGTGATTTGCAAACCTGAGGGAAGAGACTATATACTGCAGATAAGTTTTCAGGAAGCTCTTCTTTTTAGATTTGGAATTCATGTTAATGGTACAGGGTGAAATGTCTAAACTGCACTAGTTCCAAGTCTCTCAAGGTTCCCTTGTGAAAGAAGGGAGAAACGAAGAGTATCAGAGTTTGTTACATAGGTTAAACAGATAACTGGGTTCATTCAGTATTTATAAAGAAGAAAACTCAAAATGCACGCACTCAGCTTTTCTTGTCTACAAGTAAACCTTTCTTAAAGGTTTTACGAATTGTTTGCTTTTTGTAGTAAGATTTTATTTCCATCAGGAAAAAAAAAAGTCTGGGTTTCAGTGCAGGAAATAGATATCTTAAGTTATATAATGTTAACCCTACTTTTAAATCTGTCATGTTGCAAGAGATTTTAGTTGTGAAGAATAGCTGCTTTAGCTTTTTGTTTGTTTTTTTAATATGAGTGGCTGGTTTTAGTTTAATAGTAAAAGAAAATTGTGGGAAACTCTGTTTAATTATCTTATATCTACTTGTATGCAGACCACTTACAGATCTGATCTGCTAAAATTAACTTTTGTTATCAAAAGAGGAGAAAATTACAGAATGTCCTGGTGCTGTGTGCGGTAAAATGAAACCCAGTTGTCACATGAGGCCAACTGAGGTCCTGAAAATAAAGGAAATTGCCAAGGGAGGAAGAGGCTGGCACAAATGAAGCAGGCTTTTAATCTAAAATTGGGTCTGTTCTTTCTTACATCCATCCACAAGTAACAGGAGGGTATAACAGCAACAGACTAGCCCTTTTGACCGTCATGTTCTTATGGTGATTTAAACTATTGATTAAGTTTTCCTTGCTAGTGAATTTCTTGTTGGATTAGGAGAATATAACTGAAGAATATCATGGCTGCACTACAGATGTACCACTTGCAATCACTGGCAATGTACATGGGCAAATTATTTTGCGCTTCTTGAAAGTTAAAATGTCTTTCTTTTTTTAGAAAGTGTGGATGGTTTCACTGGGTCAGATGTTTGGTGTTAACAGGAAAAAACCAAAACACATTTAGTAAAAAAACGCCCACTTTCCTTAAAATGACAGATTTCTCCAATTTCACGTGTAATGTATTTTACTGATTGGAATGGTTTAGTAGGGTACATTTGTTCCCCATCAGAGAGAAGTCATTTTGGTGCCATGTTTAACCATGGATCTTGCTTTTCTATGCAAGATCTCTGCTCAGGCAAGCCAAAACCTTCAGAACTGAGGGGAAGGCTCTTCCCTTATCTTGTGGGGCATGGCTGTTCCCCCATCAAAACTGCTTCCTGCAGAGTCTTGCTCTTAACTTTGTTACTCTGCTCTATGATAAATTGTGCATGTGAGTCTGGCACTTGATTTTTCTGATTTATTATTTTTTACATATATATACTGGCCAAAACACGGATAACTTATTTCTGGGAAGACTCTCCGTATTAAATCATCTAACTTCTGCTGAGAGTCTCTGCTGTAAGAGAAGTAGGACAATCTGAAATATTTTTTTTCTATTAAGGAGTCTGAAGAGCCAGACAGCTGTGGTAAACTTTTGGGGTTTTTTTTCAGTGGCTGGTAAGAAGGGGTAATCAGTGTTTTGAAAACTATGAAAGGAGCAGGCCCCAAAAGCTTACCTATTTCCAAAGATGTTCCTAAATTATTTCACATATTTTCTGTGAGATAATTTGGCTAAGCAGAGCCATGGGAAAATCAA